TAAGTAAATATTCTCTTTCATTTTCTTTCTTCCCTTTATTGATAGCAACACAGAAACCCTATAGCAGAGTTAGGAATAACTCTGCTTGACTCCCAGGACACCTCCCTCCTGCACAGGACAACAGTCCATTATTAGAAATCCCATGGGAAGGAACAACAGAGGCCTCCGACTTTCTCCAAAGAGGAGGAGCTATCTTCAAAAACTCTTATCTAGTTGTCTTATGTACCAAGCTCATTCTCTTCTCCAGACCTGTGAACACCTTGATTCTGAATCCTCACTTCTGTGGGAATGCTTTTCTTCCTCCTTTCCATCAATCCAAATCCTCTCATTCATTCATTTATTCATTCAGACATTCAGTTTTCATGGAATCAGGGAGTCATTAGACCTCTACTGAGCACTTATTTTGTGGCAGGCACTGGGATAGGAGCTGAGGTAACAGCCCCAGAGAGAAGAGCCTGCCTTCAAGGAGTCTAGCTGGGGCACAGTCTACTTCAAGCACAGATATGCTCATTCTAGGGAAGTTAAGGGATGATGTTATAGAAGTATGGGCATGATATCTTGAGAACATTGGACAGGGAAAACTAGGTGTGCCTGAAAGGTCTCTGCCATTATTCTACTGCAATTACATATCCATCATTTTCTTGTCTGCCTCCAATTACACATAAAGATGGCCACACACAATTGAGCCCATAGGTACATATACTGCTCAGTACATATCAGTGTAGTGATATCAGGATGTGAATAGGTATAAGGTGTGTATCTAGCCAGGAAGGACCAAGGCAACCCAATCAAGGGACCTCAGGTTTATCTAGAAAAGCAAGGAGTCATGCTCAGGGGTAGAGGATGGATAATTCCGTCATTAACAAACTTTAGTAAGGGCCTACTGCAGTGTTTCTAAATCTTGGTGGCACATAGAATTATCGGGGGGTGGGGGGGGCATTTGAAAAATACAGATACCCGAACCATATCCTAGACTTGTGGAAGCAGGATCTTTTGGGATGAAGCACAAGCATATGGGTGTGACATGTGGTTGATTCTGATGATTAATTAGCAGGGGTTGGGAAGCACTGGTCTATCTGGTGCCAGACATTTGCAGAACACTGAGAATGCACAAGCAGTCCTATTCATGCCTTAGAAGACAAGTCTCTGTCCTAGAAAAACTAAGTCAGGTGGGAGAGACAGGCAAGCAAAGGTACACAATCAAGCAGATAAGCTCTTCGATAGAGACAGGTACGAAGTGATGTTGGAACTGAGATGAGAAGGACCAGTATGCTTCTGGGAAGTGGGGGAAGCTCAGTAATGTTGCATTTGAGATGAGATACAAAGGATGTGCAGGAGTCTCCCAAATAAGAAGGTGTGGGAGGCTATCCCAGGCCTAGGACTGAGCTTCTAGTTCCCACTGGGCTTAGCCACCAGTCAGATGATGTGGAGGGACTGACTTAGCCACCAGTCAGATGATGTGGAGGGACGTCTGAGGGAGAAGGATCAGGGCGCATACATGCTGGGACTGGGCTCTTAGGTGTGTCTGAGGTGAAGATGGTGATGTGATGGATTGCATTAATGATTTATAGCTGTTTCATATACCATTTTTATTTCTTTCAATCAGACCTTTATACCTAGGAAACAGTCATAAACAGAACTTGCAGTGGGAATACTCAAGAAGGGCAACAATTCCCTCAAATTTGAAAACAAAGAAAAGCTTTTCGTGTTAAGTCTAAAAAATTCAATGATGAGATCATAAAAAAGGGGGAAGGGCAGAAAGGGGTGGGTCATTCTGCAAGGGCAAGGCATGGACATAGGAGCAAGGTTTTCACCTTCTAAGAATTTCAAGTTCAGTGTGGCTGGGGCAAAGCACGGGGGGAAGGCTGTGGCCGTGGATAAGGTGGGGGAGGAAGGTGTGCTTTGAGCTCTTGAAGGCTTCTGATGCTCTGCTGTAGGGTAGACTTCACCCAGTTCGCACTGGGGAATCCTGGTTATTTTATGAAGGATGGTGCTAGGGTCATTATTCCTTTTCTGAAAGGTCATTCTGAGCGTGTGTATATTTTCTTTCTCTGACAGAATTGTAAGCATGCAGTCAACAGGAATCATATCTTGACTTTTTTTTTTTTTTTTTTTTTGGTATCACCAACAGTGTTTAGCAGAGCAGGGGACACATGTTGAGATGTCAGTAGTTAATGGATTCATTAATTATTTGAGCAGCACAATCCCATACGCAAGTGAATGTTGTAATATGGCTATTACAACCCATGTGGTGCTTGCTCTTTAGAGATCTCAAGTAATCTGAAGCTGGGATTCTTAATTTTAACATGCACACAAATCACCTGGGGATCTTGTTAAATGTGATTCTGATTTATTATGTCTTTGGTGGGGCCTGAGATCTTGCATTTCTAACAAGCTTCCAGATGCTTCTGCTGATGACAATTTGGATTTCTATATTTTGAGTGGTAGGGATCTTGAGATTCCACTGCCTTATTTGGAAAAGTTCCAGTAGTGGGGTCATCTGTGAACTGTGGAACATTCTACAGGGATTGTGGAAGTGAAGAGGCTTCCCCATGAGAGGCTAAGACTCCAGACAGCTCCCTTGGGCCTGGTTCTGAAGGCAACCACATGTCTCTAAGGCCCCTGGGGTAGACATTGATATTGTTTGCCTTTAAAGAAGCATCTGGACGGGGCGCCTGGGTGGCTCAGTCGGGTGAGCATCTGACTTGGGCTCAGGTCATGACCTCACAGCTCATGGGTTCGAGCCCCATGTCGGGCTCTGTGCTGACAGCTCAGATCCTGGAGCCTGCTTCTGCTTCTGTGTCTCCCTCTCTCTCTGCCCCTAACCCACTCACATTCTGTCTCTGTCTCTCTCAAAAATAAACAGTAAAAAAAAAATTTTTTTTTAATAAAATAAAGAAGCATCTGGTGCTGCTGCTAGTTTCTTCCTTGCCCTGCGAGTATTGAGTTCCAAAGAAAATCCATTAGTAACAGTGGAGTTGATAATAAAACAGCACATTAAGTCAGAGGACTCTAAAAACAGCATGCTGTCAGCGTGTAATTTGTTTAGGCCCAAGTAGAATGGAGCGTTTTCTCAGGAATTTTCAAGTTTGAAATTGGATTATGGGCCACTTTGTAACTTCTTGATGTTTTCCTCTGTGAAAATGGTCTCATGGCCATGCAATGGCAAGCTGGAAGTCCCTCAGGGCTCACCAGCTAGTAGGCATGAAGACGGCCACACTGGTTAGGCTAAAGTCTGGCAGCTTGGTGCCATTCATTACCGTGACCAGGGGCTTAGTTTTCATTCTGAGATTTCCTGACCTTTTTTCTGGCTGTCAAAGAAGCACCAGGCCACATCTGCCTCTGTCCCCAGTGTTAATGCATGTGTACTGGCATCTTTCAGCCATGGACCCATGATGGCTGCTTCATCTCAGACAGCTCCCCATGACACTACCAGTCTCCTTCATATCCACTCCATGCATGGGTATGGCCATTGCTCACTTGGGCCATAGCTGGGAGGTAGTCTAGGGTAGCAGCAAATGGAATTATCTCTGGACAGAATGCCTCATATCAGCTGTGGGACTTGGGCATGTTCTCTAACCGCTCTACACCTTAGATTTCTTACCTGTAAAATGAGGTTAACTGGAGTTCTATAATCTCAAGATTGTTGAGAAAATAAGGTCATCCACTTAAGCTCCTAACTCTGTTCCTGGCACATAGAAAATGCTCAGTGAACAGTATTATTCTCACAGAATAATGGTTCTGGCCTGGGCAAGCTTCAGGCTTCAGCCCAGCTGAGACCAGTTAGTTAACAAGTTTTCATGACATGGTTGATGGCTCTGGGATAAGAGAAAGGGGGAAATGCAACTGCTATTTGATATGGAGATGCTCAGGTATGATAGACCCAAGTGCTTTCTCCTGGGGTCCCTCTCAGCGGCTTCCTGGTATGCCTTCAGGGCTGTCTTTCTATGACAAAAGATGTTTTTGCTGCAAAAGGATGTCCTTGAACTTATCTAGACTCCTTTGAGACCAGGCTCAGAGGTAAGTTTTGTCATCCCGGGCTCCATTTCATTTTCCAGCATCAACTCCTCCTTGAGGTTACTGATAGTAGAAATCTCCACTCCCTAGAAAGGGAGCCTTTATCCTACTCCAGGGTGTCACCTGGCCTTGGAACGAAGGCCAATCCTCTTTCCCCCCCAGTCTTGCCCCAGGGCTCACTCTCTTTCCTTCGTGCAGAGACTAGATAACTGAACTCTTGACTCAATTCGTACTTAATTTCTATTCAGGCTCATGTGAGAGATAATCTCATAATAATAATAATGATAATAATAATAACAACAACAAAAACTAATTTTTCTCATGTTTTCCTTGCCCCATGGCCTCTAAAATCATCTTCCTAAAACATGCTTCTTCTTATTCCACTATCTACTTGAAGCCATTGTGCCCTCCCTGGCACTTAGGAGATGAAATTGACGTTAGCATAAGCAGCTCTTTATATGTGCTGGTCTTTTGTCCTGAGATGCTCTTTGGGCCTTTGTTTTCACCCACTCAGCCATCATGGCCGAGCTCATATCTGACTTCCTCTGGGGATAGTTCCTGGCACCTGGCTGCATCCCCAAACCCCGGACATCGGCCAGGATCCCTCCTCCAGGCCCCCTTGACGCTCTGAACCTTATTCCATCACATGGCAACACACAATAATTCTCTTCCGGTTCTGCCTCCCCTCTGTCAAAGAGATAGCCTCCAGTCACAGGAGTGGCAGTGAATGAACTAATGCTTACCTCACATTTTCCGAGTTCTTTTTTGTCCACTCTGTCCCCTGATCCTTATTATAGGTCTGTGAGATAAGTAAGACGCATAAGACTGTGATCTCTGCTTTCTATATGAGAACAGGAGTTTCTGACTAGTCCGTGGTCGTCTGTCAGCAATGTGAGGGCAGAGGCAAGTAAACTCAGACCGAGTTCTTAGGGCTGTAATCCCAGTGCCCCTTTTCACTACTTTTTATTGCTTCCATTTGACAGAAACTAAACTCTGGTAGGAAAAGGGTCCCAAGGGAGACAAGGCACGGGGCCAAGGAAGACTGGGGGAGACAGCGACCTGCCGAGGCACTGGAGCTGCAGAATCACTGGGGCTCACAGGTAAGGCCATTGGGTGCAATGAGAACCCTGGGGTGTACTGTTGGCTGACTTTATGACTTGAGGGAACATGCTGTTTGATTAAGACGAGGTAGATAGGAATGGAGACAGAGAGAAACACCTTGAAAATGACTTTTATGCAAGACCAGACCACACTCAAAATCCGGTCTCAGGCACCACCTCGCAGAGTGCCATTCCTTTCCAGCAGCCCTCTGGATTGCTCTAAGTGACGAGGGATTAATTTTATAAAAGTCTTGAACTGCTGCTAAGAGTCCTTTTTAAACCTGAAAGCAAAACAAACAAACATGAAGTCCTACGGAGCCGAGAATAAGCTCCGAGAGGGAGTGAGAGCGTCGGAAATAGTTACTGGGATGGAGGAGGGGACCACGATGTACCTTGTTTCAAACCCCCGCCGGCACTGTCCGCTCACCCACCCGCAGGTTCCGTGGGCAGTCTGAGCTCGGCCGGGGGCACCGGGGGGTGTCGCAGGGAAGATGCCAGGATGGGAGGTCTCAGAGCTATTTCAGACTCAAGGCTGACATTCACGGAGACCTTGAGTTACGTCATGAAAACCGTCTGGACTTTAGGCCCCCTTATGCCAAATGCGGTTTCCAGAAAAAGGATCCGCCGCATATTTGGAAGCCCATCAACCAAACGAGTCGTCTCGTCACTTTCTTGCATGAGATCTTTTCATTTGTGAAGAGCATATTATTTTGCTTAATTATGGGCTTTGAGGAGATGGCGTAGAGCAGCGGAAAAAGCATGAGCCGGGAGTCAGAGCGACCTGGGTCTGAATCATGGCCCTGCCGTCCACCAGCTGTGGGGCCCTGGCCTGGTGGGTCTCAGTCTCCTTGTACATGAATAGAGAATAACTTAATAAAGACCCATATCGTAGGGCAGTTGTTAGAGTTGGACTGTTAGTGCATGTCAAGAATCTTGTCCTATTCTGCTACTCAGATATTTAGTAATCAGTCACTAGTATTAATAAAGTGACTGACTTTGAACATGGGAACATTTGGTAAGTGAGATTTCATGTTCACTCCAGAAATATATATGTAGTGGTATCTTATATATAATCTTTTGCTGGCTAAATATACTGTCTATATTAAGTTTCCATTTCCCAGTGGAACTTGCTGTATCAAAACCCCTCCCCAGGCTCACCTTTCCTTAGGGAGTTTTCTTAGATGGACCCTCACCGGTGCCCTCCTGGTGCTGAATTCTTACTGTTTATTTTATAATCATCTATACCATGATTAATTATGCTTTTCTTAAGGAAGGGTGCATTCTGAAAAGAGAGAGGATTATCTCTATCATTCAGTCACTCATTGCCTAAGACTTGAGTCTTCATCGTCAGTATGGGGATAATATTTAACCCATGTGTCTTACAAAGGTTATTTTGCCCCTGAAAAAAAAAAATCAGGTAAGATCATAAGCGGGAAAAGATTTTCTAAATCATAACAGGTAAGTAAATTCAAGTGATGACATGATTTTTGGTATAGATCCTTTTGCAGCCGATAGGAAATGTCTTTGTGCTGTGGCCACCTGTCTGGGAGTCACCTTGAGGTTACTCAAAGCCTCTCTCCACCACCGGATGTTAGGAGATTGGGTAACTTTCTTGAGTAATTGTCTTCTCTGACTCACGTTCCTTGCGATCCCCAGAGTGACCTGTGTGCTACTCAGGATGAGCAAGGAATTTCTTCTCTGGAATTAAGGGATGGCCCCAAACTTTCAGCTTAGTCTTTTTTTAACACAACTTCTAGAACTACTTACCTGAATAGCCACAGAACAAATCTGTGCTGCTGTTGGATTCATGTTTGCTGAAATATATTTTGAGTACAAACTCTGGAAGGGCATAGAATTTCCACTTCTCTAATGAGATTCTGTTCATGGATACCCATCTTTCCCTAAGACCCAATTGGGATGGAAGAACATAGTTAACACATAGCATGAGTATGAAGAAGTCATCAAGACATACCTTTTAGCTGTACTTGACCATCTTTCTTTCCTTACTTTCTCTGTTTCTGGTCTCTCTCTCTCTCTCTCTCTCTCTCTCTCTCTCTCTCTCGCTGTGTGTGTGTGTGTGTGTGTGTGTGTGTGTGTGTGTGTGTGTCTCCGTGTGTCTCCCTCTCTCTCTCCCCTCTATTTCTCCCTTTCCCTCTTTCCCTTCCTTTTTCTCTTTTTAAATCCTTTCCCTTTCCTACTTCCCTTTTATTACACTCTTTCCTAGTCATTCCCAGGCATAAGTCATTACCTTTGTTACATGTACTCAGAGTACAACAGTTGTGGGCATCTAGTCCAGGTCTGAGATTCTAATCCTTTGCTCTGTATTGTAATTACCTAGAGAGCTAAAAGATACTGATGCCTGGGCTCCAGTTGAGTTAATATCTCAGGGAGGAGGGGGATCCTGGGCCTACTACTTTTAAAAAGCTTCCAAAAAGATTCTAATGTGCATTCAGCTTACACTGGTTGAAGATATTTGGAGAGCAAAGATATGACAGAACTATTCTAAAAATAAACTAAAATAAGATTTATGGCTCAAAGAACTGCAATCATGTGGTTTGGCCACACTTGCTTGTTTTCTATCCATCAAATAACAAGTATTTTTTGAGAACCACAGAAAGAGTGGCTGGTTATGCCCAGGCAAAGCTTTTAGGTGAGTTTCAAAGATAAGGCTACTAAACACTTTTATATACATTGAATTATTCAACCTTCTCAACAAATCTAGGGGGCCTTATTTTTCCTTCCAGTTTACAAGTGAAGAAGCACAGGCACTGAGGGATTGCTTAAACAGCTCAAGGTCTGACCACTAGTTAGAAGTGGAGCCAAGAGATATGAATGCAGGCATTGTGCAGTCTTCCTTTTAATTATCATGTGATACCTCCTCTCTGCATTGACAGATAAGATGAAAACACAGACATTTACTGGAGCAGTGGTTCTCAATCTTGGCTGCAAATTAGAATGATTAAGGGAGTTTTGTAAAAATGTCCTTTGCTCAGGTCACACCTTGGACCAATTTAATCCCCCAGACTCAAGAACGGAACCCAAACATCAGTATTTTTTAAGGTGTTGCAGCTGACAAAATTGGAAACTACTGAATTAGAGGGAAGAGAGCAATATAAATGAGAGTCATCAGGATAGGCTTCATAGGTAATATTTCACCTGAACTTGGCATGAGACAGAGTAATGCCCTCCCCTGCCAAAGATGTCCATTTCCTAATCTCTGGGAATAATTTCTGTTACCTTATATGGCAAAGGGGAAGTAAGGGTGCAGAGATGTTAAGGTTGTTAACTAGCTGATGTTAAAATGGGGAGTTAGCTTGGATTATTCAGGTGGACCCAATGTAATCACATGGGCCCTTAACTGTGGAAGAAACAGGCAGAGGAGGGAGAACCAGAGAGATGGTAGCATGAGAAGGACTTGGCCCAATTCAGCTGGCTTTGAAGATGGAGAAAAGACTCAAGGAATGCAGGTGGCCTCTAGCTGGAAAAGACAAGGAAACAGGTGCTACCCCAGAGCATCCAGGATGAACACAGCCTTGCCAACACCTTCAGTCTAGCCTAGTGAAACTCATTTTGGACATCTGACCTCTAAAACTATAAGAAAATTAATTCATATTGTTTAAACCGCTGTTCATGCTAATTTGTTTCAGCGGTAATAAGAAATTAATACAGTGCCTTAAAAAGGATGGGTTTAGAGAAATGTGTGGTGAGTGTGAAAAATACCCATTTAACTGCAGATCTGACTTTCTGTGTATAAGTATCTATGTGCTGCACCCTTCACATCTCTGCCCTATGCAGTGACTCTACGATGTATCTGTAGCCTGCAGTTGAGCTCGACTTCACACTCAAGACTTTAGAATCAGCACTCCTTCCAATTACCATACTGTGTACTTTTCCTCAGGAAGTTCCACAACAACTTAGGATCCTGACGGTTTGGATCCTAAATGTCAGTGGTAATGGTGGTAGTAGAAGTGGAGAGGAGAGGATGAATCCAGGAAACCTAGAGATGAAAATCAGCCCAGGGGAAATCCGGCTACTTGAGAAGGACAAAGGAAAGACAGAGCCAAAGAAATCTACAGATTTTCAGCTGTGGCAGGCTTAAAGGGTGGTGGGCAGTATCTCTGATAGAATTGAAGGTGCTAGAAAACAGAACAAATCTGGGGACTGGGATGGTACAGGGTGATGGCATTACAATAAAGAATTTGACTGGGAAGGAGACTCTAATCTATGGACTATCCCAAGTGATGAAGAGTATCATTTTTATGTTAATGAAATGGCTCCCAGTAGGCCCCTACTTAATTGTAGCACAGGGGCTGGTCACAAGAAAGACCCACCATGTTGATTAGTGAGTTGGGACTTTGAGCTTCCTTGACATCTATGGCATGGAGGAGGGCTAGAAATTGAGCCCAATCAATCATGCTCATGGAATGAAACCCCAGTAAAAACTAGACAGTGGAGCTTCTTGGTTAGTATACACATTATTGCTGTGATGTGTGTGTGTGTGTGTTTGGGGAAGGGGGGGGTGATGCCTGTGATTCCCCTGGGAAAAGGCACAGAAGGTCCACGTCTAGGACCTTCCCAGGTCTTAACCTCTAGGGGGATCCCTTATAAAAAGTATAATCATAAGTATAGTGCTTTCCTGAGTTCTGAGAGTCATTCTAGCAAATCGTTGAATCTGGGGGCATGGGGCACCCCTTTCTTTTGTAGCCAGTCTGTCTGAAGTTTCTGTGGCCTGAAGATCCCTGAGACTTGCAGCTGGTGGCTAACCTCTGAAATGGAGGTAATCTGGTGGAGGACTTTGCCCTCAACCTGCGAGGTCTGTGCTGCCTCCGGCTAGTTAGTGTCAGAATTGAATTCCTCCTCACCTTCTTGGGAGATACTACATGACATAAATATCCGTGGGCAAACTCAGAAGTATGTGAAACTAGTTTCCCCCTCAACACTAAGGCCAAAAGAAAATGCAGAGAACATTAAATACAACATTAAAATACTCACATCGTACT